CTATCCTTACTTATGCTTCAGAGGTGTGGATTAATGAAAAACATCTTAAGATAATAGAGACAATGCATTTATCTTTTCTTAAAAGTTTATTAGGTTGTTAAAAAATCAACAGCAACACCAGCAGTCTATGGAGAATTAGGACGTTACCCATTAAAAATACGTTTTGAAATTAAGTTAATTAAATATTGACTTCGTTTAATTCATCTATCACCTGGAAACATTCTTCATAAAACATATACGCATGATCGTGAAATGAGCCAACTGGGTTTTAAAGGCACTTGGTCAAACAAAATCACTGATATTTTGAAAAAAATGTGATTTATTCTCATATTGGGAAACTCAAAAGATCGATGATGATTATATTTTTATCAAGATGATAACAAAAAAACTGTATCAGAATTATAAGTCTCAGTGGCAGAAAGATATTTTCAGATATCCTGTTTTAAGAACTTTTAATAACATTTTAAAATGTCTTTGAAAGAGAGGGTTATTTGAATATACAAAATAAAAATTACAGACAAGCAATAAGTAGATTTAGGCTTAGTTCACACAAATAACATATAGAAATTGGTCGTCATTTGAAGCCTAAGCCAAGACCTTTGGATGAACGTTTATGTAATATGTGTGGTATTTTAGAAGATGAACAACACTTTATCAAAAATACAACAGAAAGAAAACTTTTGTTTGACACCCTTACGCAATTTAATTTTGTAGGAAGTCCTGACTTTATTTTCAAAAAGCTTTTGTCTCATAAAAATTCTTATGTAATTTTACATCTAGCATAGTTCATTTATCATTCATTCAAAAAACTGGATTAATATTGTAACAATGATACATCACACTGATGTTTTAAATTCTGTCATGTTGTATCTGTATTTTACAACTATCTCATATTTTTGTATTTTACATTTTGTGATGCTGTAATTGTATTTTACAACTTTGTATATTTCCCATGAAGTAATTAGTTTAGTCTTAGTTTAATTTTGTATATTGTAGTTTGTAGTGACTAATATGTCATTGCAATGACATCAGAGAGTCAATAAAAGATATATATAAAGGTTGAACTTAAAAATCAAACATTTTCTTTTTTAAACATAATAAATCTTTAAATCAAGAAAATAAAAATAAGATTGATGATTGAACTTTTCATAGTCAACTGCGACTGTGTCGATGCATGTTTATTTACTTAGCTAATTAGATATGTAAAATTGTTAATGGCCGCAACGGATAATACGTACATGTAAGCTGTTCGGATATGATTAATAACAAATCCCGGGCAGAATGTTATTCAACAATACCTGATCTTATTAGTTATTATTCAATTTGGATAATAAATCTATTATCTCGTCGTATTGATGTTTATTATATAGTGTTTCTCGTTGTGACGTCACCTCTCTGCTAAAGTAACGATAGCTATTTACAGATTTAAATCATAATCAAATCAATTCACGTTCCAACATACGAACTATTGAAAATAGAGTAAGATTGATTTGTCATGTTTTTAAAATCGTCTTACAATGCCAAAGGCGTAGCGATCGCACCATCGCACCCTCCCCCCCATAACCAATGAAAATATTCGAAGAAAAGAGCCTTAAAATGGTTTTTTATTTGAAGCTTCTAGCTCAATTTTGAAGGAAGTTACATACAAGATTGATTTGTCATGTTTTTCAAATCGTCTTACAATGTCATAGGCGTAGCCAGGAGGGGGTTCGATGGTGCGATCGCACCCCCCCCCCCATAACCAATGAATATATGACCATGATGATAGAAGAAGAAAAGAGCCTTAAAATGCTTTTTATTTGAAGCTTCTAGCTCAATTTTGAAGGAAGTTACATACATTTTTTGTAAATTCGAAATAAATCTTACACGTTTTTTAATGATCTAATTATGTTATATATTCGTATTTTTCGTTTATTTTTCGTTTTTGGGTACCCGGCTTTTTGACCGGGTACCGGGTACCAAGTTTGAACCCAGCATGGAGGATTTACTATCCGGTACCCGGTTTTTTCTACAAACCCTGGTTGGGTGAAAGATCATACATTTTGCAGTGGGCCAAATTCGGCTCTGGACCAAGTTTCAGATATTGCAAAAGTCAGTGCAAGGGCTAAGTGCTAATTTAAGTTCTCCTGACCTGAATTGTTGTGACTTTTTCTTCTGAAGCTATCTCAGGAGCAGAGTGTCAACCATTCCTCCATCAGATATTGCAAAACTTTGAGAAAGAATTGCTAATGGGCTGCTTTTTCTCCGCCTTAAGCCACAGATGAGCTGAGCTGAGTCATGAATGACATGGAGAGTTAGGCACATCTTTGTGTAAACACTTAACAGTCTATGTGACACCTGCCACACCTTCTTCCAATAGCTCCTATGCCCCTTGTACTGACTTTTGCAATGTTTTAAACTTGGTCCCGAGCTGATTTTGCCCCACTTTTCGAGAGTAATGATTATTTGGCCAACCATGAATCCCTGTGAATGAATAACATACCATTGCAAAGAGGGGAAGTGTGGTTTTGTGGTACATTGAATGAAAATGATGTCACCACTGTTTTCATGTTTTCTTCCAATAGCATCTGGCCCCGTGCACTGACTTTCGCGGTGTTTATTACTTGGTCCCAAGCTTATTTTGGCCCTCTTATATTCTATTGAGATCAGGGCTATCTGGGGACCATAAGTAAGGGGGATGAAATCAGGTTTTCATTAGCCCAAGTTTGCACTCAACTCTCAAGGAGTTACTCAATTACTCTGAGTACCTCTGTTTCTCTGTAAAGCAGAACTGGAAGACAATCCTCTGTTTCTCTGTAAAGCAGAACTGGAAGACAATCCTCTGTTTCTCTGTAAAGCAGAACTGGAAGACAATCCTCTGTTTCTTTGTAAAGCAGAACTGGAAGACAATCCTCTGTTTCTCTGTAAAGCAGAACTGGAAGACAATCCTCTGTTTCTCTGTAAAGCAGAACTGGAAGACAATCCTCTGATTCTCTGTAAAGCAGAACTGGAAGACAATGGCAACTTGCTCTTGTTTAGAATTTAATAACTTATTACTTATAAGCAATTATATCATAGGTGTATTACCTAAAACCCTCTTATAATCACAAATAAATTAGCAAAATTGAATAAAACCATGGATTTTCAGGAAATTCTGTTGACCAAGTCCATGTTAGTATCGAGTGGTTATTAGAGTACTTAATCATTAATGGTTAAGAGAGGTGTTTATCATAAACTGACTATTTATTTGTAATATTATTGCATGAATATTGACATAAAAATTATATATGCCATTACTTATTTTAAAATTTCCCTCCTTTTTGGAAGTGAATTTCTGTTTTTTTTCAAGACATACCATATATAGGTGTCATGGCAACACAATTGCATGAACTACATCGCCGAAAATTCAATTCAATCAATTGATTTTAAATAAATTAATCTCAATTATACATGTATATCTTGGAGTGATGCATTAGCACGAAAATAAATTAGTGTATCATAATGCTAAAAAGTATACTATGACGATAAAAATTAAACTTAACTATTGGAAATCGTATGTACTATTTAGCAGCTTAGAGGCCCATGATGTGTTTATTCAGCGAGATAATCAAGACGATGTAATCAGTTCTGATATAGTTTATTTCGAAATTAGTGAGTGGGAGTTTTTGTGTCACCCTATAGCTTTATTATATTGCTTTAAGATTATAACTTGACCACAAAGGGCAATTACCACAATAGAACTGATCAAAGTACTTATTGTTACCAATTATTTTTATGAATAAATGTTCACTCATCTTTTTACATGTATAAATCCTACTTTTTCTTTATTTCATGTTTATTAAATCTGTTGTGAAAATAGGTACAAATATAAAATCAAGAAAACAGTGTTTTAACATGTCTGGAGTTCATTTCACAATTATATAAAATAATATAAAGTCTGTTGTGGCATGTACCTTCTTTATGTTCTCAATTGAGCTGATACATATAGGACAGCACCCAACTCAGATACATAAAATATTTCCGTGGGTACTGGGCTCACATGGTATTGCTCAAAAAGAGAAAAGTGAATGATGGCTAAAATGGCAGACAATAAATAAAAACGGGAATCCTATCGACCGAGGTCTTAAAACGTGCCACTATTGTGGCCTGACTGAGAGACAGATTGACAAATCAATGTTAGCTAAGATGGGTGAAAAAAACCAAGATTTAATTTTTTGGCAATTTTTTGTAACAAAATTATTTCATACAACTACTCTTTACATTGACATTGCTTTTTACAATGCAGGACACCTGAAATTATTTATTAAGCTACCAATGGTCCAAAAGTGAATTTGTGAGACAAAAATGACGGCCATTTTGAAAATAGGCGAGCTTTTGAACCAGGAGTCATAGGGAGGTTTTCTGTATTGATGTTGAACAAAAATCACTTAAAAACGTGAATCCTATTGACAGAGGTTTTAAAACTGCCACTATTGTGGACGGACAGAGAGACAGATGGATAAATCAATTTTAATAAAAATGGCTGAAAATAAAAAAACGGATATAATGTTTTGGCAATTTTTTGTTACAAAATTATTTCATACAACTACTCTTCACATTGACATGGATTTTTACAATGCAGGACACCTGAAATTATTTAGAAAGCTACCAAATGGTCCAAAAGTAAATTTTGCGAGACAAAAATGGTGGCCATTATGAAAATAGGCGAGCTTTTGAACCAGGAGTCATAAGGGAGTTTTCTGAATTGATGTTGAACAGAAATAGAGGTTTTAAAACGTGCCACTATTGTGGACTGACTGAGAGGCAGATTGTGAAATCAATGTTAACTACGTAAGATGGCTGAAAAAAAAAAAATGGATATAATTTTTTTGCGATTTTTTGTCCATTTTGAAAATAGGCTTTTGAGCAGAACTTCTACTCCCATAGGACATATCTGTTCAAAATTTGAAGAAAATTGGGCCAAAGGTATTTGAGTTGTTGCCTGGACGGACGGACGAACGAATGAACGAAATGTACAGGCAGACAGATGGAGGCGTTCCCTATATCCCTCCGAACTTAGTTCGATGGGATTATAAACAAAACAAACAAGGATTTTCAAAATTTTAAATAAAACAGTACCACAACATCATAACATTCAATGGATAAGATGAGTAGATTTATAGACTTCCTCATTCCATGTACAAGTATGGTCTAGGGTATTTACCTTATTATCCCAAAATCAGATAAAATATAATATTAAATATATAAATTCAATACTCTCTTTTAGAGCAGAGATATTTGGCAAAATATTAGTTAGATCTTTGTACATTATGCATTGTTTGGCAAAATATAATGCAAAAAAATGGCACAATATCATTGTATCAGATAAGAATACAATATTCTCAAATTCTCAATTGTCAAATTCCATTGCTATGCTTTAATTAACTGGGCCAATCACATGTTATTTGTTTCCTTGTATCCTCCAATCACATTACAAATAGATGGCATCACCTGTCCTTGTACTGGACCATAATCAACCAGCTCCCCATCAACACAGAGATACCCTTTCTTTGTTAGAGGCTCAAGTCTGAAAGCCTGGCACTTGATATATTCAATATGTGGATTCTCCAAGTATGTCCCATTATCCACACTTATTTCTTTTAGAATATCTAACATGTGGAGTCTGTTGCCTGATGTTTTAATATAGAATATGTGTATGATGCCATCATCCAAAGACGCATGAGGAATTCCATAAGTCATTTGGTTGAGGTGTGTTTGAAATAATGCACTGAATGAATATGTCTCAAATTCATAAGATTTCCAGCTGCTGGGGACTGGCTGGTCAATAGCAGGCAGGAGATCAAGGGGGATCATTCTGTGTGGTGTATCCCCAGCATCACACAAGACCACATCATCATTCAGGCTGATACCAGTGTCACTTGGGCTACTGACAGCCTCTTTAGCACCAATGTCCTCCTCTTTAACAATGTGTTCGTTCTGATCATCAATAGCCTTGTTTTTATCATATGTGATTGTGTTTGATTCATCTTTATTAGATTGGTTTGGTCCTCTTTGGTCTCCCCCTCCTCCTTTGTTATCACTACCCTGGGAGCAAACAAAAGTAGATATTAAAAATATACACAAACTGTATGTTTTATCATTGAGCTTTCACATGGAAATGGGGTAGATGTCTTTCTAGAGATGCACTTAGAAAATGCAAAAAACATAATACTAGAGTAGCTCAGAGAGTTAACTTCAAGTCAGATGTTCAAACTTACATATAATGAAGTACAACAAAAATTCAAAACAATATTTAAGGAATATCAATATCACTGACATTAACATAATCAATATCATTATATCCCAGTAGGCAAAATATAATTACGAAAAGTATTCTTAGAATTGAAATTGCATAAAAATAAGTAATGTATACTAAGGTGAGTAATGACATTCATAAAAAAGTCAGACTTTCTTTTGCATCCCGCCATACTGTTAGTGAATAAAAACATGTGTGGCAGATATGGAGAAATGGGGGTAAACTTGAAATGAAGTAGCATTCAGATGGCCGTCTCATATCATGCAATATTCATGACACTTAAGCCTGATTATGAAGTCCAGATGTCATCTTGACGATCAATAATTTCTGACTTAACAAACACCCATTGGCTTAGAAATATGCTTTCAAATAAAAGTCAATATGAAACAAACATCCAGTGGGCACAGAGAGTAACCATAATTAACACACCAGGGATCATACTTGATGGGTGTATTAGCAAGAAACCCTGTTACTCTGCACTCAAACTAGATTGTATTCAAAAATATACATTATACATTGTTTTATTGATTACCATTATTCAGTGATAATTTTCAAATATTCAATTTAGGTCAATGCTACTCTAGTTTCTAGATATATAATCGTATTTTGGTGATATTAAAAAATGGTAAAAAGTTTTAAAGAAAATGTGACCATAGACAGGTTCCAATTTCAGAATATCTCAAGGGAAAGACTTTTTGAGGCATTTTTTAGAAAAAGCAACAGACCTATTTTTTCTGGATCAGTTTTTCATGCTGATAAAGATATTAAAAGATGACAGCTCAGCGGGGTGGTCACGACACTGCATTTTAGCGTTTTTACCCCCCTAGGAAATTATCTTAGGGGGTACTATAATATTAGTTCATAACTCAAAGGATATATAAACTATTGTTCTGAGTTCTACAGCATACATTGTTAGTACAGAGATGAATACTATCCTAAAGTTATAGGTTGATATCTTTGTTGGTTTCGGAAAAATACAATTAATTAGAAAAAATATGCAATTTTTGTCATTTTTTTCTTGCTTATTTTATATTTGTAGCTTCGAGCAAAATATGATAACTTTAACAGCTCAAAGTAGTATTCTAACAACATTCCCAAGCTATGTTTGATATTGTAATACATCTATTACAGTGATGAAGTACTATTTTGTAATTTTAATATGACTTTATAATGCCCTACCCCTGGTAAATAGAAGAAAGTTGGTGTGGTTTTCTTCTGGTTTTAACATTTTATTGACTTCTTAGTTGAAGATACAATCAATTCTGTCAGTTAACCATGAGTAACTTTACAATGGTTAACTATTCCCATGAATAGAGGGTTGGGACCTCAAAAATACCAGAACTGTTAAGTGGCATCCTTGGGCATCCCTCTTCAGAGCATTTTCCTTATACTTCGATGAAATCTGCAGGGGATACTATAAGACACCTATATATCTAAGATACTAATGAAGATACTGAATTCAAATTTTCAGGATTTGGTCCTGGTATGATAGGTAATCTGTATGACAAAAATGACAAAAAGAAAAAACTCTGTTGCCATAGTAACAAGAATACCACACTATTTGTTTCCTAAGACATGTGTTTTAAGAGGTTTTGTCATTCTCTTCATATTTTTAATTCTAAATATGTCTACAATGTGGGATGATTAGAATTATGGTAAAGTAATCTTTTCTATTGTTTGATTGTTCTCTAAAACAGAAGTTGCTAAGGCACATAGATATATAGATCATAGAAAAAATGTTGGGATGATCGCTCTATATGTCAGGAAATTAAAATAGAAACTGAAAAATGAGTTTCTTCCCACTGAATAGCAATTAATTTGGTAGACCATGGCTGACACACACAAGAGAAAACGTTTATCAGTTCTATGTCATTGTGTTGTTATTTTCTATTTATCGTGGTCTGGGACTTATAACATCTAATGCCGAGTCTTCTCAAACTGCAAAGGAAGGCAAGATTTTAATAATGAACATTCATATATCTCAACAAATATGGCCTAAGACAATGATGAGGAAACTCTGAGGGAAAATTAGACGAAACATTAATGTGAGTGGTCCAAAAATAACACTTACATGTTTTGGAAAAGTTATGCTCTCGGGTGAATCAATGCTCATTTAAGGATAGTCTGAATCAGGTTAATTTTTTTAACTTAATTGTACCCCTCCCCGAAACCCCCAAATTTTGAGGAAATTGTCGAAAAGTGGCAAACAACATTCATTAAAGTTCAATATGGCTATTTCGCTTCTATGTCATAAAGATATGATATGATCTCAGGTCAATCAATAAATTTCACAAGTGACACTCTATCTTATGAAGAAAATACTATCGTATATTTGAAGACATGTCAAAATTTGGTGGAAATAAATAAAATCCTGATTTGACCTGCAAATGTTCAGGTAAGTTATCACAAACAATTTCAGACAATTATATCTTTGATTATGACTATTTCCTAACCATGAAGACAGGTATACAGGGATAATAAAGTCAATCCGACTCGGAGATATTTACTAGCAATCAACCCATCAATATATTTTTTCAAAGTTGTTGACCTCATTTTCACCAAAAATGCAATCATTTTAACAATGTTTAATGCATTACTATTCTTTATTTTAATATATCAAATAGCTCTTGAAATGAAAACTGAATTCCCCTAAGATTAGTGTTCCCCATGTTATTTCCCCTTTGAAAAAATTCATGCTATCCATTGGTTTCAGTTCATTTTGGTCATCCAAATTCAGTGTCTTTAAAGTCCCTGGAGCAATCCACTTTTCCTCTTAGGAAATAGAACATGTCTCAAAGCATATTCTAATGCATTCAACAATATAATTAAAGGTTGCATCTTTTAGTACGGGAGCAAAGGTAATTCCGTGTCCTTTTTAGAGGCGAGCTAAGCGACATATATTTTTATGAACTATATGTGATACTTACCAAGAAAAATGATGTTGGCAATTCTGAATCCGCGACGGCGTTGCTATGGTAACCAAGTAAATGAGCCACGCCCACTTTTAGGGGGTCTTTTCAGTGTTTGGCCCTTATCTCCTTCATTATTGCCCAGATTTCGATGAAATTCACACCAAATGGAAGGTAATAGATAACGCACTCAAAATATATTAAGTTGGCAATTCTGAATTCGCGGCAGCGTTACTATGGTAACATTTAGTAAATATGCCACACCCACTTTTAGGGGCTCTTTTCGGCGTTTGGCCCATATCTTCATTATTGCTCAGATTTCGATGAAATTTGCACCAAATGAAAGGTAATAGATGAAGCAATCATACAGTTCATGAAATATGCAAATAGGGTGATTTGCATCTTAATTATGACGTCATAACTGTTTGTTTTTGTGTATTTTATTTTAATCATGATGCATAAATCTGCGAAATTATTATTTTTAAAATGGTCAGTAATGCTTTTAACTAGTTAATTAATTTATTTATTTTAGTTGAGTTTATTACATTCATACATGTATGGTCATAAAACATTAAATAAATGTAATGAAAGTGTCCAATTCATGCTGTTGCTATGGTAACAGCAAGTAGCAAAACGATCCGCTGTAAACAAGAGAATTCTTTAGGAAATGTTACATTTTGACCATTTGACTGACATGTATTCTTTTTAAAATTTGGTGACAGAAAATAACCTAATAACTATAGAAAATTATTTAATTTGGATTGTGTTATATTATGATGTCATAAGGGCAATTGTTAATCAGGGGCGCAACAAGCTCTCAGTCGGGGGGGGGGGGGGTGCTTTAGACACAATTTCTTTTAAAGATTTTGTTTAATTTTACAAAAATTGATGCAACTTCCTTCAAAACTGAGCTAGAAGCTTCGAGTCAAATGCATTTTAAAACTCTTCTTCTATCTAATGGTTCTATTTTTATTGGTTACAGGGGGTGCACTCATTACACCCCCTGGCTATGCCTATGTTAGCTATGGTAACCAGGTGAATATGCCGTCCCCATTTTTCAAGACTTTTCATAAGTTTTGCTTCTCTTTGTCACCATGATAGCTCTGGTGTAGATGAATTTTCATCAAATGGAAGCTAAAGTTTGCTTTTCTTGCTGGGTTTCTTTACAGTGTTTGCTCCTTTCCCTTTGGTATTTGCGCTTAGATATTCATACTTGTAAAGAAATGGAATTAGAATCAATCATAGTTTTCAGCTTTGACCTCATTTCATGGTGAATGTCAAAGGACAAGGTACCAATTTGGAATCATTTTGAGCAATTCTACCTTATTTCAAGAAAATAATCACAAAAGCAGCTATGATACCATAACGAGTATGCCAGTCAGTTAATCTACATTATCCATGCATTTTCTGATTCACCTTGCATATTCACCTGGTTACCATAGCAACATCATATTGGATTAACATAACCCCCCTCCCATAAACAATAAGATAGAACCATTAGATAGTTTTTGAGTATATTGGAAGATGTCAGCACTGTCTCATTAGCACTTTATATTTCTTACAAAAGAAGATACTAGAATAGTAGATTTCTCCTTAAGTTTCATTTGGGACCACAGGGGTCTACTAGGATGCATTTGGGGGCCACGGGGGTCCATTGGAATATGTTTGGGGCTTGGGGGCCACTGGGATGCTTTAAGGGGTTAAAGGGGGCCACCAGGGTGCTTTTGATGGCCATGAGGAGCTATTTGCATGCTTCTGGCGGCCTCGGGGGCCACTAGCATGGTTTTGGGGGCCACTGAGGGCTTATAGGATGCTTTCAAGGGCTACTTAGATGCTTTTAGGGGGCATTATGAGGCCCTTGGATGCGTTTCGGGCCACTGGGTGTCACTAGTATGCTTTTTTTGGGGCCACCAAAATGATTTTGGGGTCCACAGGGGCCCATTGGAGTGCTTTTAGAGGCCACTTGGGGCCACTGAGATGCTTTTTGGGGTCACAGGGGGCCAATAGGATGCTTCCGGGGGCCACTAGGATGCTTTTAGGGGGCATAATGGGGCCACTTGAATGCTTTATGGGCCACTTGGTGTCACTAGTATGCTTTTTCGGGGCCACTGGCGGGGGAAATGGGAAGCTTTTGGGGCCACTGGGGGCAACTTGAACGATTTTAGGGCACATTGAAGTGCTTTTAGAGGCCACTGAGATGCTTTTTCGAGGCCACAGGGGTCAATAGGATGCTTTTGGGGGCCACTAGGATGCTTTTAGGGGGCATAATGGGGCCACTTGGATGCTTTTTTGGGCCACTGGGTGTCACTAGTATGCTTTTTGGGGGTCACTGGGGGGCAACTGGGAAGCTTTTGGGGCCTCTAGAAGAATGAGTTTGGGGCCTTTGGAGTGCTTTTAGAGGCCACTTGGGGCCACTGAGATGCTTTTCGGGGCAACGTTTTGGGACCACAGGGGGCCACTGGGTTGATGTCATGGGTCACAGAGGGGTACTAGGATACTTTTGAGGGCCTCATAGCAGCAGTAATCTGTTTTTAGGGGCCACTGGGGACAACTAGGATGCTTTTGAGGACCACATGGGGCCACTATGATGCTTTTGGGAGTCATAGGAGCCGCAAGTATGCTCAGGGGGCCACTAGAATGCTTTTGGGGGCCACTTTGGGGCACTGGAATGCTTTTTCGGATCATATGGGGCCACTACCGTGCTTTTGAATGTCACTTGGGCCTATTTAGTATTGAATTATAACAAACAGACTAAGTTGAAGTTAATGACAGTGTAAAATTACATGTTTGTTAAAGTTATGATATTATAAATAGGTTTTACAACTACGAAATCATTACCTCTTAACCCAAAATGTTATCATGGGCACTTGTGTCTATGTCCCGTATTTGGGATGATTTTTTCTTAGTTATGCTACCCAGGTTAGAAAAACATGAAAATTATTTAAAAAATACTAATGCATTCAATCTGTTGTCATTATTGGGTTAAAATGCTTTTGACTTGAAGCTTCTAGCTCAATTTTGAAGGATTTTTGTAAAATTCATCTTAAAACATTTTTGGGTTGCTTATACCACGATTGCCCGCCCCCCCCCCCCACCCGACTGAAAGCTGGCTGCACCCCTGATTAATAATTGGCCCTTATGACATAATAATATAACACAATCCAAATGAAATAATTTTCTATAGTTATTAGGTTATTTTGTCATCAAATTTTAAAAAGAATACATGTCAGTCAACTGGTCAAAATGTAGCATTTCCTAAAGAATTCTTGTTTACAGTGGACAGTTTTGCTACATGATGTTACCATAGCAACAGTGTGAATTGAACATTTTTTATTAGAATTAGACATCTTTCATTACATTTATTCAATTTTTCTATGACCATAAATGTATGAATGAAATAAACTTATAAACTCAACTAAAAGAAATAAACTAGTTGAAAGCATTACTGACTAAAGACAGTAATTTCACAGAGTTATACATCATGATTAAGATAAAATATGCAAGAACAAACAGTTATGACATCATAATTAAGATGCTAATCACCCTAATTGCATATTTTGTAAGATATATGATTGCTTTATCTATTACCTTTCATTTGGTGCAAATTTCATCGAAATCTGAGCAATAATGACGAAGATATGGGCCAAACACTGAAAAGAGCCCCTAAAAGTGGGTGTGGGATATTTACTTTGTTACCATAGTGACGCTGCCGCGGATTCAGAATTGCCAACTTAATGTATTTGGATTGCATTATCTATTACCTTCCATTTGGTGTGAATTTCATTGAAATCTGAGCAATAATGAAGAAGATAGGGGCCAAACACTGAAAAGAGCCCCTAAAAGTGGGCGTGGCTTATTCACTTGGTTACCATAGCAACGCCGTCGCGGATCCAGAATTGCCAACATCATTTTTCTTGGTTAGTATCACGTATAGTTCATAAAAATGTATGTCGCTTAGCTCGCCTCTAAAAAGGACACGGAATCTCTTATTTGGACTTTTGCTCCCAGACTATTTGGTAAAAACTAGGTTATCATTTTTAGTAAAAAGTATGTTGATTGGGCCATTCCCTTTAATATCACTTAGGTCTGATTAATCATTATATTTACTTTTCTTGAAAATAATAAATAGATCTAAAAGATATACCTATGTTCATGGCCAGAAAATATTCATAATTCAAGTTAGAATTGACCTTTTTCCATATAAATGAAAAATAGATGGCATCATGGGTATTGGTAGAGCTTGGGTAGGGCTAGAATACATGTAAATGTATTGCCAGAGTCACTTAATTTCTTGATTTAAGAACTAATTCCATTTGGATCAACTTAAAACATCATTGGAATGTAACTTTATGATCTTATTGACATGTGGATTGTGATTTCACATTAAAATTGTGATCCTTGGAAGAGTAAATGAACTTTTTAAGGTTTTTCAGCATTGTGTCAATGGGGATTTAGCCCGACCTTTTTTAGACAACCAGTAAATCATTAGAATTTGAATAATGGTAAATTACAGTGCAAATCAAAGTTGTTTTGATTGAGAATTACTCACAGAATTCAAATATGCCATCAGATGGAAGAAAACATTAGTTTTTAATGGTTAAAAATGCAGATCTCCTAAAATCTCATTAAAAACAAGACCTTAACGAGATTTCAAAGCTATATGGAAAAAGGACCATTGTCTGAAGTTGTTTGCGATAACCTACATGCTCCTTTATAACATTATTATGTAAATACTATCAAATGCTTTAGTCATGACAGTTGAAGTAAACTGAAGTCTTGGTATTTAAATGCAGAATCAGATCTATGTAGAGAACTAACAGTTTTACAGAACTTTTGCCATGTTTTGCACATTGTAAATGACCCTTCTGAATGGGTTGTAAAGGTATATACCAGGAGGTATATATGGCTCAAATGACTCGTGCCCTAGTACATGGGGCACTGTAGTACATTACTTGTGCATGATGACCACCATAGTCTAGTTGCTCAAATGAGATCAATTGATGATTATAATGTTTAGACTGTATGCCAACCTCTCTAGTATGTGATTACACTAGATTTCATTATGATACATGTACTAAATTGAAAACTTACATATAAAATATCTTAAGTCCTATATTCTAGTAATAAATGAATTAGAATGTCACCTAACATTTGATGATGGCATGAATTTATTGATTTGGTGTCTATAAATACACGTTTCTAACTTAATGCTGCAAAATGATTAAATTCACCACATCCACTTTCTTCAATTTTCCAGGGGTAGGGCACTATAAAGTCATATTAAAATTACAAAATAGTACTTCATAACTAAAATAGATGTATTACAATACCCCATATAGCCTGGAAATGCTTTTAGAATACTACTATGAGCTGTTAAAGCCGTCATATTTTGCTTGAAGCTACAAATATAAAATTGGCAAGACAAAAATTACGTATCTTTTTCCTGTTTATTGTATTTTTCTGAGACCAATAAGGGTATCAACCTATAACTTTAGGATAGTATTCATATTTGTACTAGCAATGTATGGTGTACAACACAGAACAATAGCTCATATATCCTTTGAGTTATGAACTAGTTTCATAGTACCCCCTAGAATATTTTCCTAGGGGGGTAAACATGCCAAAATTCAGTGTCGTGACCACCCCGTTGAGCTGTCATCTTTTAATATCTTTATCAGCATGAAAAACTGATCGAGTAAAAATAGGTCTGTTGCTTTTTCTAAAAAATGCCTCAAAAACTTGAATTATTAGAATTGGAACCTGTCTACCATTGGAGTGTTATACAAATTAGATTGGAACTGCACAATTTAAGGCTGACTCCAAACCACTCCAAAGACAGGATCATTGAGTATGTCTTTGTGGTACCAACCTTAGAAGTACTTGTGGATTCCACTTCTTCCAATGGTAAATATGACAGCCTTCCCCTATACTTCTTAAGACCTATGGGATAGAAAATAAAGGTATTGTGGTATTTAAAGTACAATTAAGTTGACAGATCAGTTTTTCAAGTCTTGTCACTAATATATATAATGTACATTATCAAAACCATGCCATCTGGTCAGTGTTTATGATATAGGCCACATGAGATGGAAAGAATTTTTGCAAGTTTTAAAAGAGAAAAACATCAACTCCTGTGAGTAGCAAATCCCAATGAAAATTTTTTTTATCAAATCACTCATCCTTTTGAACATTTCATGATATAAATAACCAGGCAGTAGTTGTGTCATTTCTGCAAACTGCACCCATGGTTCATATGGTCATTTGAAATTACCCTATAAATACTTGTATGTACCAAATATACAAATTTGCACTGAATCAGTAAACTGTTATTTTAGTTATTTTATATCAAAGATAAGACTTTTTAATAGTGGCCATTTTAAATTGAGTGGCCATACAATAATATATTGGAAATTCCTTCTAGAACAGAGATCCTAAAAATAAAATCTGTCAACTGGTATTTGAGATATTCACCCAAACAGACAAACAAATGAATGGACCGGACAGATGGCATCTCTCCCGTCAAAGATGGGATAATGAATTCTATAGAGAGTAGTGATCCATTCATTTCAATTGAAACTTTAGAGTGAAATTAGAAAAATGGGCATCAGCAAAATAAGATGTTATACATGATCACATACCACCAATTTTGAGAAAAGCTCCTAGAAGGAACCTTATGTCCCCAATCTTTCTCCATGGTTCTGTATCTACATCGATGTCCGAGAACATTCCCCAGGAGACAGAGAGGAAACAGTACATAGAGCTAGAAGGCAGTTCCAGAGCCACCAAGTCCATTGGTTGAATCTGGGGCTTAGCTACAATGAACGATGAGTGACGTATCCATTCATCTTCAAACGGTTCCCTAAACATATAAGATATTACCCATCAAGATCGCATATCAACAGATTACTAAGTCAATGATGAAGTGTGCATTAAAGAGGCAATGTCTGTTTTATATCATGCAAATCACTAAAAAATTTACTTATTGGTACTACACATAATGTTCTCACACTTGGTCTTTGCTACAATCAATAGAGTCAAGTGAACAAAGGTGATTATAACAATTGGGGTATGAACTTGAAAAATCTGAAGAAGATTTCCGGCAACTTCTCATACATATAAATAAAGGACCCACAGTCCTGTGCTCACACAGTGTTTTGTGCAACCAATGATGATTGACTTTATACATGAGAAAGTTCCCTGAAAATGATGAAGACTAAACACCAAAAACTGTAATTTCAAGAGCTTTGAAATCTTCAGAGAACATAAGTTGCATATACAGCAACTACTACAAGTTATTTGAAAGTTCTACTTCAACAAAGTGTCTAGTATTTACAGAAATTGTGACTTTTTAACGTCAAAATCAGCAATTTCTCGGAAACCGGGCGAACTTGGAAAATGGCGATGATAGGTCAAATAGGCATTATGGATATACATAAAATGAATGTGGATATGACTCAATCCAAATAGCAGTGCAGCCAATGATGATTCACTTTATACATGAGAAAGTTCCCTGAAAATGACAAAGTCCTACTTTTTGTCAAATTGTATAGAGTAAACACCAAAAACTGTAATTTCAAGAGCTTTAAAATCCTCAGAGAACATACATGTAAGTTGCATATACAGCAACTATTACAAGTTATTTGAAAGTTCTACATGTACTTCAACAAAGTGTCTTAGTATTTACAGAAAATTTGACTTTTTGACGTCAAAATCAGCAATTTCTCGGAAACTGGGTGAACTTGGGAAATGGCGATGATAGGTCAAATAGGCATTATGGATATGCATAAAATGAATGTGGATATGACTCAATCCGAATAGCAGTTTTAATTTGTGCGGCCAATGTGGATGGACGGATGGACAGGCGGACGGACGGATGGACCAACAGACGGACGGACACCTGGTCGATCCCATAGCCAAAAACACATTGTCACTTTAACATAGACTAAAACATGCAAACATGTAAGAATTTTTAATGATGCAACTAACAAGATAATCAAGTGAAAATGACACTCGAAAAACTGATCCACTTCTTATGAAAATACCACAAAGAAATACAATGAACAAACTAAATGCTTGTTTTCTGTTGGTTAGGTAACATGTCAATGACATCACAAATTAATATATGATCAATAGTGATGTGTGACGTTAAGCTTTGTTGTTGTTTAGTTGTTAGGGCAATATGTGACTGATGTCATAGTTTATATGATATTACGTCATATCTTTATCACAATCACACCATATGACGTCGTGATCGTTGCTTTGATGATTTGCCATATAAGGTAATAATGGTGGACTTTTGGTCAAGTGACTGATTGAACTCCGGTCAATAGAACGAAGGCTCTGCCCACTTCAAGGGGGGCCTTCATAATACTGTGCAGTATTCTAAATGGCTTTAGAAATGTGAAAACCTTTAACTTTCAATTCTATGATCATTTTTTAAGAATCATTGTGATATTAAACTTGCACCCTCTATAGGGTTTAGTAGCAGCTTTTTGTCAGTAAATATTGCTAAAAGAGCAAACAAGAGTTGCAGATCCCAATGGCCAAAGTATATTTACTGTGATCTTTATGGGCTGTTTCCAATAACCTTTCAATATTTGATGATACTAACTCATCTTCTGAGTCACCATTTTGAGTTTTGGAACAAACATTTGAGGATATGCTTTTAAATACCTGTCATTTGAAGAAAATAAATCATTACTTTAGAGATATCTCATTTTGCATTTATTTAGGAACAAATATGTAATCTACTCTCGACCACCTTTAGTTCCAATATAAAATAAAATAAGATTTGTTGGAGATTTGTCATTACTTTTAATTAATACCATTTTGGCTTTGGCTTTGGTAACACTGTCCCCAATTTACTTGCTTTGACCATTAAACCATCAAACAAGGATGACATTCCAGTTTTTAATTTTTTGGTTTTCTTGATTTATAGCGGAATCAATTGGTGAATGATCTTGCGTTTTCATACTAAAGTTCGTTTTTGAGTTTTTTCTTATAGCTTAATGTATTTAAAGATATTTAAGAGACAGGGCCCTTTTTCTAAAGCCCTATTTAGAAAAATAATTGAGATTACAAAGGATACCTGTTATTTCTGCTTTTAACACAATTTTAATAGAAAATTCAAATTCCAAACTCCTTATCTAACTATAATTCACCAATGGAGAATGGGAATTGAGGAACCAAACTTGGCACAAAGTTAGATCCTAGGATAAACTCTAATCTTAGGGCTTTGATTTTTTGTGATATCATATATTTGCCTAGCAACCACATAGCAACCACCTAAAATAACATATTTTACAATATAAATCCACTTAATATATGCTAGGATGCTATGAGACCATTACAAAAAAGTATTCTTATCCTTAAATACAACAATTTTAACATATTTACAGAAGTGACATCACCATGTTACATAGCAACAACATGGCAACAGGTTACAATGCCCATTTTGATATTTGCAGACCATATAATATTATATATTCACTGCTTTTGGATCTCTTCCACATTATTTCTTAACATATAGCAAATGTATTGATGCAGTTATGTCTGACCATTTTCCCTAGCAACGGCTTGAAATAAAGGTTAGATTTGCCTAGCAACGACCTAGCAACATCTTAAAATGGCAATGTTTCTCATAAGTATTTCACTATATATCCACTATATATACTTCAATCAATATATATGTGTTTTGTAATTTATAAAGCTTTATAGTTGCTCACTTAAAAATCTTTAGTCTCTTGTGTAAAGCATGATGGGACATTTCTTGTCTAATGTTTATCAAATTGCAAATCATGTTTCAGTTCTGAGATTAAGTAAACACGAAATATTCATCACATTGATTGACATGGTTCGATGCAGTAGAATGCACCATGGCATTTGCAGTTCCCTTTACAGTCACATTTGGTCATCCACATTTAATTATGACTTTACATGCTTTGGATGCTTAAGCAATTTTGTCCATCTGGGCACCCACAATCCTGATGGGATCCTAAACCATCCTCATAGGCTTGGTGAAGGAAGAACTGGATCCACTATATACCACTCCCCCCATACATGTGCTTCTTGTCAAAAGGGCACCTGTAAGATCATTACATATGTTCCATTGCTTGAAAACTGTTGAGATTTGTCTCACTGTTTGTAGGCTGGTAAACCAGGATAATGAACCTCTCAATTGTGCCCGTAACTTCTGTTGTTACAGTTGATGGGCGATCTGCTAGAGTCAAAAGGACACCTGTTAGATCATTACATAAGTTCCTTCGCTTGAAAACTGTCACCTTGCTATGATGGTAAAATCCAGATGTGGTATCAGTTCCAGTAAGGGCGTGGAACATTGGCAGCATAGTGCTCAAGCGAATTCATAAATTGGAATGTAGTGTTAGTTTTGCCTTTTGAAAATGCTACATATCTCTCAATCTGTAGCTCAGAGGCACAGGCTATCACAACATTACTGTCCACCGATCTTACCATAAATGTCCTGCAACCTTTTCCGACACCATGAGACACATTCAAAAACATATGTGTTGCCTCTCTCTGGGAGCAGGGACTATTATGGCATAGCAGGATTACTGATGCACTCTCCTTCAATGGTTGAGACAAAGATTTTATCATCTGCCATATGTCTTGTAACAGTTGCTAGTAGTGCAAAGAACTCTATCTTGTTGTCATCGTTTCTGAGAAATCCTATCCTAGCACCAAACTACCAAGCAATTGGCAAGACGTTCTTGAAAGATAGAGCTCTTTGCACAATTCCTAAATCCTTCAGCATCTCAATTGGTAAAACTTGAAACTTTGAAATTAATGACTTGTATGTTTCAGCAAAGCCCAGATAGGATTTTAAGCTTTTAACAAGTATAACCTTGACCTAACAATTTAATCAGTAAAATATGGTGTCTTGATTTAAAATCTATATACTAGTATTTTGAACATGCCCTGCTGGGATACATAAACTCCATATACTGGGTTCAGTGGAATATTACTATCCATTCAAATGTGGAAAATTAACAATGTCATGAGGCAGACACATATATGTTTTTGCATGTGTCTCATGGTGTCGGAAAAGGTTGCAGGACATTTATGATAAGATCAGTGGACAGTAATGTTCTTGTGATAGCCTTAGTCTGTGCCTCTGAGCTACAGATTGAGGTCTATGTAGCATTTTCAAAATGGAAAACGAATCGCTACATTCCAGTTCATGAGATTGCTAGAGCACAAGGACCACAAAGATCATGTATGCTGCCAAAAGAAATTGTAGCAATTAACCCAAATAAAGTATAACCTTAGGGGTATCAATGCTGAAAATGTAACAAGGATAAATACAATGAATATTTTGTGTTTACTTTATCTCAGAACTGAAACATGAATTGCAGGACTTTTGCAATTTGATAAACATAAGACAAGAAATGTCCCATCATGCTTTATACAAGAGACTACAGATTTTTTTAAGTGTACAGAAACAAAGCTTTATAAATTAAAAGACATGCATATTAATTTTCTTCAAGTAAATAATAGTGGATATACTTTTATAGTGAGATTTTTATGAGAAACATTGCTATTTTAAGCTGTTGATAGATCATTGTTAGGCAAATTAAACCATTATTTCAAGCCGTTGCTAGGAAGTTGCCAGGGAAAATAGTCAGGCATAACTGCATCATTTATACTTAAATACGATTTCTGTATGTTAAGAAATAATGTGGAAGGGATCCAAAAGCATACAAGTGAGTATATAATAGGAATATGGTGTGCAAATGTCAAAATGGGCATTGTAACCTGTTGCCATGTTGTTGCTATGCAACATGGTGATGTCAATTCTGTAAATATGTTTGAATTGTTGTATTTTAGGAAAAGAAGACTTATTGGTCTTATAGCATCCTAGCATATATTAAGTGGATTTATATTGTAAAATATGTTATTTTAGATGGTTGCTATGTGGTTGCTAGGCAAATATATGATTTCACAAAAGATCAAACCCCTCAGATTAGAGTTTATCTTAGGGTCAAACTTTGTGCCAAGTTTGGTTGCTCAACTTCAATTCTCCATCGGTGAATTAAAGTGAGATAAGGAGTTTGAAATTTGGATTTTCTGTTAACATTGTGTTAAAAAGCAGTAATAATGGGTATCTTCTGTAATCTCAATTATTTTTCTAAAAAGGGCTTTAGAAAAAGGGCCCTGTCTCTAAAATGTCTTGAAATACATAGAACAATAAGAAAAAACTCCAAAACGAACTTTAGTATGAAAACGCAAGGTCCCTATGGGGGCCTTGCACCATTTGATTCCACTATTACTCTAACTGAAAGGTTTAGGTTACAGACTATAATTTGACTCAAAGTTTACTTGGTTTTCAAATAAGCAGCCATTCTAATATTTAGTCCCTTTGTTTTGCTATTGTCACAAGAACAATTTTGGGATTCTAACTTACGTTACTATGATGAAAATTTTGTCAACGAAACAGAAGGGGTGACAAAATGCAAATTCAGGCTTTATTTGTGAACCAAAATCAGTTGTATATGAGCCACAACCTAAATGATGACTTCAAACCAAATGTTCTCTCAAAAATACCTTCAACTTAAATTACTGAAGATATAATTCAAATAAATAAAACAAACAACTGATTATTATGAGACAGAATTAATCATTTTATTTACAAAACTTTAATAAGGTAATGACAAGTCATGGGATATGAAAAACTCTTTATTTTTGTATATTTTCTTTAAGGAAAACTAGAAAACAGCAACTCCACAGAGTAGCAAATCCCACCGAACAAAACATATTTTGCTTATTATTGGCCATCTTGAAAATTCCTTCTTGAGCAGAGCTTGTTTGTCCCTAGGCATCAACATATAAAATATAAACCATATCCATCAATTAGCATTTGAGTTATCAAAGATTATATTCCTTTTTTACGAAAAATGGCAGCCATTTTGAAATTCAGCCACCATTTTGAAAATCTTTCTCGAACAGAGCTACTGTGTCCCTAGGCATCAGCATATAAAATTTCAAAATAAATCCATTCACTGCTATTTGAATTAAAATTGAAGAAGCTACCCTGAAGAAGAGATTTTCGAAATGGCTGCTAAATATCAAAATGGCGGCCATTTTTCGTAAAAAAAACATAATCTTTGATAACTCAATATGGGTCAAATGCATGTGAAAGTGGATTCTCCCTAAATTCACCATGCTCTTTTCAAAACTTAAGGTTATCAAATAGGAGATTTCTAATGCAATAAGGTTCTATGTCCTTCATTTGAAAAAGATAATTACTGCTACATGCACTGGTACCCACCTAGTTACGCTGATGATACGTCAGCGTAACAAGATGGAAGAACTTCCGGGCTTAGTTGTCGTTAAGATATTTTTATTTCTCGATTTTACACCAAATTGTGGGCAATTATTTGGCTCAAAGTTAAGGAAGATAGTCTAGTTTCAGAATATACATGCGATTTTATGTTTGGTTTATCAACGAAGAAGCAATTCACATATTTAGTCCCTCGCTTTTGTTACGTTGACAATCTGCATGAATATTACCAATGTGACATTGACGAAGACACTTTGTTACGTTGACGAATGAAAAATGTTGATCTTTGGCTCATAGATTTTTGGCATGTGTCCGGGGCAAGTGAAGCTGAGATAATGAATCAAAATCTTGTAATAATTATTCTCATATTTATATAATATGTGCATTCCATTCCATTCCAATATTGATACAAAACTGACATCCTATTCACAATTTAATTCATTAGAGGCTCAAATAACTGTGGATGATCTGATAGCGTTATTGGTAGAGCGTTGCCTTGGCCCCAGGACCTCCTTTTATGCATGGGTTCGAAACATGGGGAAGCATTTTAATTTTTCATAAGATCCAATCATCAACAGTTGTGGAAATGCGAAGATATTTTCTTTATGGTCCAATTTCTTCCCTCTCTCACGTAACAAAAGTTAGCAAGTGTCGATTTGTTTACAATAAATAAAAAGATTCACCCCCCCTTCCCCGCTTATGAAATTATCTTATTGACTAAAAAATAATTCACGCATAGCTAGTCAAATCAGAACACTCACTCATACTAGATAACATATGCATTGAACCTAATGAATGTTGCCTTTTTCGAAGTGATAAATGGATAAAGTTCATATTTGAGTAAACTTCCAGTATCATTTAGGGAATATTAACAAGCTACGTGCTATAATAAAGGCTGAACCAAAGTAGAAATATATTAATTCAACATTCACACGCATTTCAAGTGCCAAATAAACATTGTTAATTGATTGAAGTTCACAAAAAAAACATTCTTGTGGAAAGAGCACTGCAATATCATTCATAACATATACAATTAAGGAATTGATTAAAATGTTTCAACCACGCACGTCATTTTCACGTAACGTAAAATTTCTGCTCTGAACATGAAATCAGTTTTGCCGCGAAAATAGACGTGTGCTGACTTTATATCACCAATATTATGATAAAATGAACTTTTGGAATTGTTGATGCTTCACTATCATAAAGTGAGCCCTTCATACGGTAAGATGACAAAACTAAATCTAGTAAAATGGTTTGAGTACAACTTTAAGTTTGAATCAATTTGTATCCGATGTCCCTCATTTTGCCAAGCTTTAACCTTACTACATTTCACACCAAAATGATTGTAAATATAGGATCCTCATTTCTCGTCGAGTACCTGTCTCTGAACGCTCAGTGCCTCACCCTCGTGATTATAGGACTTCCAGGACTCTCTGAAATAGTTGAACTATGCAATGTCGTCAGAAGGGGAGGGATTTGAGGGGATCCCTGATTTTTTTAGATTCCAAACCTAGCCTAGAATTGAAAGCTCTAGATCTAATTAAAGTCAACAAAGTCTATGTCAGTATATGTAGGCTATCAAGCAGATTTCTCATATTATATTTAATTACCATGTATGTAGTTTCTAAAGAACCCATACAGTATGTAAATACTTTGAAGAATAAGTGCAAAATGTATATTTTAGTAAAAGTCTAAGTATTTTGGTCAAAGTCAAGTTAACTTGGGAATATTGTGCTGAGATATGTTCAGAATGAACCAGAGGATATAATTTTGACAATTTTCTGGGAGCACGCCCTCCGACCCCACTAGATTGCGCTTCGCGTGCGGTGCGCTTTACGCATGACCCATCCATACCCAAAAGTCGCCTCCTCCCTTGACAAATCCTTCTGATGCCCCTGCTATGTATTCATGATTGTTGCCCAATACGCCAATGTTAATATGGTTCGTCAACGTAACAAGAGCGTTCGTCAATGTAACATTGATCTTACGTCAACGTAACAAAAGTGGGGGACTAAATATTTGAATTTTGTCTTCGTTAATGTATCAAACATAGAACCCTCTGCATATTTTCAAACTAGACCATCTTCTTTAACTTTGAGCCAAATTATTGTCCACAACTTGACTTATAAATGGTGTAAAATCGAGAAATAAAAATATCTTACCGAAAAGGAAGCCTGGAAGTTCTTCCATCTTGTTACGCTGACATATTGTCAGCGTAACTAGGTGAGTACCAGTGACATGATTCAAATTGGAGATAAAACCTTTTTACATTTAATGACAAAGTATATACAGTGTGACACAGACAAAATGACACCCACCCACATAATGTTAAATGTTGCATAACTTTTTGGATGAATCTGGATGAATGACCTTTTGCATAGTAAAACCTTACTCCATCATGTCCATGGAGCAGCCCCACAGGAAGTTTCAGATTACTAGCTAAATTAGATGCACCTTTATGAGCATTACGAGATGTGTCATCTATTCCTTTGCAGGAGTGCCTGTATTTTACACAAAAATGCCATCCTCCTTTTAAAGCAGAAAATGTTATCATGTCTCATCATGTTTGCTCTGAATATATAAAAGTTTACCCTTCGCAATAGTGTGGCTTGCTTCTTTGAAGGTGCAACAATTAGTGCAACGATCATGGACCAGTGTTGAAATACATTTTGTTTGGATATTTCATCAAGCCTCACATCATATTTTCATTATCTCCAAAGAAACCCCCTGGATGAACATTATTTCACCTGATATTCCCCTTCAAACATGGTGGATCATAAAAATCTATATAAGTGGGACTCCCTTTATAGAAGCTTCGGACTGAATTTACACTTCTTAATGCTGGAATTGATAATTTATCCATATGTTTTAAGAAAATAGGTATGTCAAAGAAAATGTTGCCCTGATAGCTCAGAAAAACAAAAAACATTTGAATTTTCCCTCTACAGTCCTTGTTGCCCCTTTAAAATAGCTTTATCTAGTTGACAAGCCCTTTAGTCCAGGGTAAGAAAAGGTTTTATCTCCATCAGTTAAACTCATTGTTCTATCTATCTCCAAAAGCATTTTTTTAAAAAGTAGCCTTAAACATTGGCATTTCTTGCCATCCTGATCAGGAATGATTCATCTTGGCTATATGATGCATAAGCATTCATGTCAATATTCTATTTTGCTGTATCACAAAGATAGAGGAACCTAAATGTTTGTTCTCACCGTTTTCTCAAATATGGTACATGAGGACATAGAACCTTTTAATAGTAGAGGGACAAAATCTACTTTGTCCTTAGGCATCATCATATAGAATTTGAACCAAATCCATTCACTGGTATTTGAGTTATCAAAGATTACACTTTTTTACGAAAAATGGCCATTATAAAATTCAGCAGCCATCTTGAAAATCTCTTCTTCAGCATACATGTACCTCGGAATAACCCACGATTGCTTTCTCAAGAGAGGCGCAGCTTTAAGTGGTGCATTTCAAATGTGAGTTTTTAAAATTCAATGGACTCACCATGTGAGCTAACTAGACAACAGCAACACCATAGCGTAGCAAATCCCATCGAATAGCCAGGCATGGCTGGTTATTTTACAAAATCCTTCTACTACTTTTTCAGTTATAGACAAAATTGTAAAATAAGACACATAAAAATGGCCACCATTTTCAAATTGTCATAAGAAAGTGTTATACGGTTCTACAAATGTAAGTAGGCACATATATAATTTCAAAAAAGTCACAAACACATACATGTAAATGGCAGCCATTTTGAAAAATGACCACCTTCTAGCCAAAGTGTCAAATATGTACATACATACATACGGATGGACGGAGGTGCTCCCTATATCCCACCAAACCTCATTCGATGGGATAGTAAAAATATATTTAATGGTTACATAAACCAAAATTTCGAACAGTAATACTGACAATTTCAGCCATTTTGCAAAAAAGAAAATCATAAGTTATTTTCTGGATGGATGGGTGATGGACAAACAGAGAGCTTCACTTTATCCCTATCAAACTTTATTCTTTGGGATCATGAATTCATATAACAGTACACTGTAACTAATTGATTCACATAGCATAACACTATAAACAATAAATTCACATGAAAGTTCATTTTAAACAATGGATACAAATGAGAGTTTATTGTAATGATGAACTTACATCACAAACAAGATGTACAAGGCAGTATACTACAAACAAAACAATGACAGTACTGTATACTGCAAACAAGGAATTCACATGAAGGTGCACTGCAAACAAGAAATTCAAAAGGCAACAACTAAACAAACAGCAACTCCCCAGAATAGCAAATCCCATCGAATGAAACATATTTTATCATATCACTCTTCATTTTGAACATTACATGATAGAATAAGGTAAAGATTAAAAGGTGGATTGGATCGAGTGGATTGGATTCATGTAAAAGATGGATTGGATCGGGAATCTTCAAAATATGGAATTTCTTTAATATTTTGTGATCACTCAGGTCCCTTTGCGGAATCAGAACAACAAGTACACATCTAATTAGTTGATGGATATAACAGTATTCAACTGCTTTCCTTTGTAAATCGACTTTTTTAAGGCATAATAAACATAGATCTGTGTTGATAAAATCTGTCATTCAAATTGATGTGTTTATGTTCCCATCTACAAGATGTTCTGTTTATATTGAAAAAAGCAGTCTGCTTTATGATTTATGAATTGCCTAAAATTACCCTGAAATGAATAAGATTATTTATCAAAAAGTAGGTACCAGGTCACACTTCTAGACCACCTGAGCAAAATAATATTACATCTGTTATTTGACACTGTGGATGTGAGGAGAACATCAATTAATCTGACAGAGGGAGGTTAATAGAAAAAAAGTCTTCAAGTCACTATTTTGAAGATTCCCGATCCAGTTCATCTTTTACATAAAATCCAATCCACTCGATCCAATCCACCTTTTAATCTTTACCTAGAATAACCCTTCAGTAGTATAGTACAGTATAGTCTCCTTTGGCAAAATTTATATCCATGATGTGACATGGTATCATATATACTACTCTATAGAGGTCCTATGGCCCAAAGATGGAAGTGTACTATGAACACTCAACAGTACATCATAATAATATACACATGGGAGTACACTGCAATCAAGGGCAAACAAAATGTAAATGCATCGGTTTATGATGGAAAATTGTATTTTAAAGAATGCAATAAGCAATAACTCTTTAGTATGCAACAAGCCTATACCCTGTGTGGCCTCACATACGTCATAATGCACACACAACACATGTTACATTTTGTGGTCACAAACTTCAAATACATTGTCAGATAAGCTTCCACCCATATAATAGTAACAGAGTGTTTTTTTTATAAAATTAAATATGCAGAGATGTATTTATTAATATATGGCACTATATTATTTATTATAGACTACCACTCCTAGAATTCCATTTGTGCGGAGTGTGGACGGAATGGTCTTCAGGCATGGAATCACAGAATCTAAAATTTTGATCACTATTTGAAATTTGTGCAAAACTGAATTCGTTGTATTAACTTATCTCTAGATTGCTGCAATAAAAATACATGCAAAGGATCTTAATAATTATCTGTCTTAATTTTCATTAGAAACGCCAAGAAGTCCCGCAGAATTGGCATTTTTACCTTATATAATTCAGCATTTCAATTTGCAGAAATCTAGGAGATTAGATGGTCTATTCTAGATTTTCTCAAAATAAGCCTTTGGCCTTCCATGAAAGTGGGAAAATTATATTCTTGAATATACAAAGGCCTCTTTGAAAATACATTACTTTCAACAAAATGCCAAACATCTATTTGAAAACTGAATTTGAAAGTTTTTTACATTGATTTGATGCAAATCATATTACTTAATTATGTGCCCTTTATATAACATGGAATGAATGTTGTCATGCAAAGGGTAGATAAAATGAATGAAATTGTCAAATGAAAAGTTTGAGAGGCATTCAAATTCAAATATATCAAAGTGGTCTTTTCTAAAGCCCATATAACTTATTACAAGAACATCCTGTTATAGTCAGTTACTTGTATTACAACAACATCTAATTCAACATTGAATATTTTTATTACAACAAATGTTGTTAAATAATCTTTTCGAATCACCACTAGAATCAATCCATGATTAATATTTTGGCACCATAAAGCAAACCATAACTAACTCTGCACGCTGCATTTCAATTATACAGGGTGGTCCAAAAAATCATTCACACTTTTGATTACGTATTCTAATAATTGGCAGATTTCCGAATCTTTTTTCATAGACCTGTCCGAAAGACATGTAAGTTTTACGTTGTGTAGGTTTTATCATCATATATCACCATAATGTGAGCACAGATCAATAGTTTGTTATGTGCTCAATCCAAGTTCCTTGCACACATTGTAATGTCCCTGTTCGTGTTGTCATACGGAATTCTCCTGATCTCTCTTTTAATATTCTTTATCTCATCAATGGTTTGGGAATTGTTTGCATAGAACTTTAAAGTATACCTACCAAAAAGCGTTATAGGGGATATGTCTTGAGAATGTGCAGGTAGGGTGTGATCCAAACAATAGGAGATGAGTCTGTCTTCAGGGAAGTAATGATGGAGGTATTCAAGTGAAGCATCGGAGCATTGAAATATTGCTTCATCATTCCGATGGATAAGAGTATCCATGTCAACCCCTCACTTTCATGCCAATGCCAGGAGGAACTTCAATGTATCAGTCCATGTAGGAAATGAACATCCAGTAGCATCCTTAAACCAGTACGGCCCAGTTATGACCTAACTTTCACCAGTCAACTAGTCTCAACATCACATATTTGATGCGAATGCTCAGAAGCCTAAACCTTAGCCAAAATGTGCATTCTTAATTGTTGAAGGTCATTACAAGCTTAAATGTGTGATTAGCAATTCAGCACCAAAGAGCTTGGATTGGGCACATCACAGACCTCTGACCTTGTGCTCGCATTAAGGTGGTACTAGTATATAAAAAAAAAACTTACACCACACAAAATTTACATATCTGTAGGACAGGTTTATGAAAAAAAATTTGGAAATCATCCCGTTGTTAGGAAATGATATGTTATCAAAAGTGTGAATGATTTTTTGGACCACCCTGTACAATCAAGAATACCAACAGATCACACAAAACGTTAAGCAATACCAACTTGTGTATCATATTATTTTACATACACTGAATTAATTTAAACACATTATGTTTCTCTTGCAGTTTTATCAATACTGGTGTACTAAGAGGTATTTATGCACTTCCTTTTAATAATAAATATGTTGGTTTCATGTTATATTATTATAGCTTTTGAAAACTAGAAAATCAGCAACTCCACAGAGTAGCAAATCCCACCGAACAAAACATATTTTGATTATAAGAGGACATCTTGAAAATTCCTTCTTGAGCAGAGCCTGTTTGTTCCTAGGCATCAACATATAAACTGTAAACCATATCCGTAAATTAGCATTTGAGTTATCAAAGATTACATTCCTTTTTTACGAAAAATGGCAGCAATTTTGAAATTCAGCCACAATTTTGAAAATCTTTATCGAACAGAGCTTCTGTGTCCCTAGGCATCAGCATTTAAAATTTGAACAAAATCCATTTACTGCTATTTGAGTTACCAAAAATTACATTTTTTTCTACGAAAAATGACAGCAATTTTAAAATTCAGCTACCATCTTGAAAATTATTTGTCAAACAGAGGTCCTGTGTCTCTAGGCATCATCATAAAAAATTTGATCCGAATCCGTTCACTGGTATTTGAGTTATCAAAGTTCACGTTTTTTATGAAAAAGTGGCCACCATTTTGATATTTAGCAGCCATTCTAAAAATCCATTTTTCAGTGCAGCTCCTTTGTCCCTAGGCATCAGCATATAAAATTTGAACCAAATCTGCCGACTAGTATTTGAGTTATCAAGGATTACATTTTTCTTATGAAAAATGGAGGCCATTTTGAAATTCAGCCGCCATCTTAAAAATTCTTTCTTGAACAAACCTTCTTACTCCCTAGGCATCATTATACAAAATTTGAACCAAATCCGTTCACTGGTATTTGAGTTCTTTACAAATTTCAATTCATATTGGAGTAGGGCTGTATCCAACAATCCTTGAGAGATCAGTTACTTTAAAAATAAGAAAAACGTGTTTTTGTCAGGATTGATGCGCGAGAAATGTGGTAATTTTTTTTCCCAGGTTATGAAAAAATAAGACTAACTCGGGGGGGGGGGGGGGGGGGGGGGGGTTAAAAAGAATGCGCGCGGAAATGCTAAACTATTGCATTTCTTACCTACGCCCAAGGCATAAGCCTATAAAATTTGAATCAAATCCGTAAATCGATATTTGAGTTATCCCCTGGACAAACAGACGGACAGACGAATGAATGGCTTTCCTATACCCCCCTCGAACTTCGTTCGTTGGAATAAACATGTATTGATAAGATCAAAGAAATTATCACACCAGAAAACAGGTGTTCAAGGACAGATGTTAAATGCATTTGGTCCTGGTGAGCTTGTGCATAGGCAAGTTTTCTCCACCATTCTCTATTCATTCTCTGGGATTGGGGATCTACCGATTAGAGTAGCATATCTTGCCAATACCTGTCCCTGTATGGGACCATAGTCCACCTTTTCTCCATCTGCACACAGATATCCATCTGTAATAGGCACAAGGCGGAATGCTTTACATTTGATAGAAGTAAAATGCCTATTCTCTAAATGCTTTCCTTCAGCCATCTCTGCTATACTTTGAAGTAAAACTTTACGTGTTGCTGACTTTTTGACAAACATAATTTGGATGACACCATCATCAAATTGACTGTCAGGTGCAGCAAATGCACTTGCATTAAAGTGTGTCTGATATGCTGCAGCAAATGAGTAGGTGGCAACATCTATAGTAATCCAGTCATCAGGCACATCTTCATCTAAAGGATTCAACAAAGGTGTTTCTATACAATCGTAACTTGACATCTTCTTATTCATTCCAGTGCCATTTTCCCTGTGGCTGCCATTGATAAGAGTTTCCCCTGAAACCTCTGCACTATCACCTTTGCCAATCTCTTCATTGTTATTATCTACATCTAAGGATTCACTAATTTCACCATTCTCCATTGGATATTCAAACACATCATTAACAGGTGCAGAGATGTTCTCCAAACCATCCACAGGGCCCCTCTCTACATCACTGTCCTGTCTTGTTGGTGCATGCGCCCTTGATGAATCATAGAATCCAACAGTTGGACAGCTAACTGTGCGGAGACGTTGATCATCCTAAAAAAAGTTTAAGAGTGATTTAAAAATTTTCTAACTAATGAAATCAGCAACTTGATGTGGCAGAGAAACAATGGAGTAAAATATGAGGAAACCAATTGATTAAATATTAACTTTCCCTTGAATCCCTTGAATCCAAATTTTAACACAATGTTAATCATTACATAAGAGACATTATACGAGTACAATCAAATAAATATGAAACACTTAATTTACAAATTATTTTTTTGTGGAACTTAAAACTGTTGGCTGTAGAAAATTAATCCATAACCACTAACAAACGGATTAGTTATCAGTGTCAACGAAGCTCTTATTAAAGAAATGAAATAATTGGGGATTAACGTTTTACATGTACTTATCATATTGCTCTGACATACATGACATACTGTATGTCAATCTGTTATTTACATCAGTTTGTTCTACCATGCACCAATTTGCCCAAAGCGTAATTATTGCTTTGTCAGATGAAACATTAGGAATAAATGTAAAATGTGCCCTCTTCCTTATTTTCATTATCAAACAACTAAACATATCGAAACTCGTACCTTTTGAATATTTATATTTGGAAATGGAAAACAAAGAAAGGTTAATAAAATCAGCTGTAATGAAAATAAATGGTCCAATTGTAGTAGAAACAAATGTATTACATCATGGACTAATCTGTTGTTTATATCCCCGGTTTATATCTCAGATATTATATGGATAACAGAAAACACATGAAATGTGAGAGAATACGAGTTCTAATTTTGTTTTAGCATGGCTTAACACCACTTGTATCAGTTTCGCTAATGCACGTTCCCTAATTTATTATCAGTGATTTTTCAGAAGAATTCGGAGCAATACATTCAATATATTACAGGCTCGTAATAAGTTTTAGCATGGGCTTTAGGGGATCAATTTTCAAAACATACCAAGGGGTCACAATAGATAATTTTGGTCCAAAATCACTTAACTGTGCTCAGATTGGTAAAAAAATTTAGGATTTTGAAATAATTTTGGCAAGGGGGAGGGGATTTAATTGAACCCAACGACCCCCCCCTCCCTGGCCATGAACCTGTATCAAATTCATAATGTATCGATATATAGCAGTTTCGTGTCATACATGTTTTGTGTTGTTTGTGGAGTGAATAAAGGTTTTTGTGTCTGTGTAAGAGGGGGGCTTTAAGTGTTGTTTGTTGTAAGCTTAATTTGACAGAGAAACAATTGAGTTAAATTGTGAGGAAACCCAATGGAGTGAAAATGTGAGGAAACCCCCCAATCAGTCAATCAATTAGATCCAAATTTTAACAATACAATCAAATAAATATGAAAAACTTAATTTGCAAATTATTTTTCGGTTGAAATTAGGACCATCGGATGCAGAAACTAGATAACAGCAACTCCGCGGAGTAGCAAATCCCAACGAACAAAATATCAATTACCGAATTCCAATCAATTATACTCATTACTTTGGTTGAAAATGAAAAAATTAGATTTTAGAATTGCGAATTCCTGCAAAGCAGCCATTTTGAATTTTCTGAGGTACAAATCTGAAAAATAATACCATAATTGTGATCTACTCCAAAATTCCTTCAATTTGAGTATAATATAGCCATACTTTGAAGGGATCGAAAAATTATTGCGAAATCGTACATTAGACGACCATTTTGAATTTTACGAGGCTCGAATCAGAAAAAAGATACAATATTTGCAATCTACTCTTAATTGCCTTTCATCTGAGTATAATAAAGGTATACTTCAGAAAGATCTAAAAATTAGTGAAAATTTCTGTTTTCCTGTCCCCCCATACATGGCCCCTGGGGGTCAGGATGAAAAACACGGAATATATGTGAAATAGATAAATGTTGTGAATACACTACCAAAATTTCAAATAATAATATTAATTACTTTGGTTTAGAATGAAAAATTTATGATTCTTGCGAAAAAGTCCCGTCATTTTTAAAGCGGCGGCCATCTTGAAAATTTTTTTTTTGCGTAAAGCTATTCACCAATATACATCTTTCCACTAAATATGAAGAAAATCTGTCAACTAGTATTTGAGTTATCTTCCGGACAGACGGACGGACTGACTGACTGACTGACGGACGGACGGACGGACGGACGGACGGACGGACGGACGGACGGACGGACGGACGGAGGGCTTCACTATATCCCTAACGAACTTCGTTCGTTGGGATAATTAATCCATTAACTCTAACAAACAGATTATTTATCAGTGTGAACAAAACTCAAATCATAGAAATTGAATAATTAGGAATTAAAGTTTGACTTCCATGTATTATATTGCTCCGGAATGTCAATACATGTACAGGGTGACCGGAAAAAAAGGAGACCATTGAAGTAATCAATTTCTCCTAAACTAGACAAGTGCCATCAATGAAATTTTGCATACACTGGAACAGTTATATGGAAATTTGTTACTGAAGGTTTCAATACAAGCATTCAACTGGTTCAGGAGCTATGATCATTTACATAACATGCTCCAAATAGGCACAATTGAGACCAACGCAGAGTTGGATTCATATGGCAAACTACCCTTACATGTTCTGCCCTCTATGGCATTATTATGGCATTACATATAGCAGTGATTGCCTTCTTTAGGTCAACAATAGTCTGAGGATTGTTTTGGTATAGATTGTCTTTCAAATATCCATACAAAAAGAAATCAGCAGGATTCAAGTCTAGGCTGTAATGGCAATGAAGGGTTATCTGACATGTGGTTCATCATCCTGTTGCCAAAGTGCTGATTTACCCAATCTTAAGAGTCACTTTAGGTATTGGGCATAGTGCCATGTTACTAAAACCACTATATGGCACAATTAAATCCAATATGGAAACCAAGGGCTGCCCAAAACCTCCTTAGGATGATACTGTAACTGAGTGGGACCACTGAGTCAGAAGCCATAGGTCAGATAAGCTTCGTCTCCATACACCTCAAATTTGAATCCATCTGATTTCTTTTTGTGGGGCAATTTGAAAGACAATGTGTACCAAAACAATCCTGAGACAATTGCTGACCTAAAGGTGGCAATAAATGCTAAATGTAATGCCATAACAAGGTCGGAATATGTAAGGGTATTTGCCAAATGTATCCAGCTCTGCGTTGGTCTCAATTGCGCCTATTTGGAGCATGTTATTTAAATGATCATAGCTCCTGAACCAGTTGACTGCTTGTATTGACACTTTCAGGAACAAATTTCCATAGAACTGTCCTGATGTATGCAAAATTTCATTGATGTCACTAGTCTATTTTAGGAGATATTGCCTATTTCAATGGTCTCCTTTTTTTCCGGTCACCCTGTATGTGAATGGTGAAAAACTACATGATTTTGAAAGAATTGTTTGCCACAGGGAGGGGGTCCTTATGTACGGGCCTGTATAAAATGCGTAATGTGTTTATTGAATATTGAGCAGTTCAGTGTCATGACTGTTTTTTGTTTGGCAAAGTGAATACAGGTGGTTGTTTGTATCTTTGAAAAAGGGGGATTTAAATGTTGTTTGCTATAAACCTAATGTGAAACAATGGAATAAAAATTACCAATTAATTCAAAATTAACTTTACAATGAATGAATTGATTGAATCAAAAAATTAACACAATGTAAATCATACCTTGAGGGACATTATACAATCAAATATATATGTAAAAATTTATTTTGCAAATTATTTTTTGGAAATTAAGAGCCATCAGTTGTAGAGATTAATCCATTAACCCTAACAAACAGATTAATTATCAGTATGAATGAAACTTATTTCATAGGAATTGAATAATTAGGGATAAACGGCTCGAAAATCCTGTTTTTAATTCTTTTGTGTTTGTGTTTAATCAAATTATTAAAATCAGACCAGGTGTACCCAAGTGTCATAATCTCCTCATAATGTCAAATTGCCCTGGGTATGGGAATATCCTATATAAGGTGAATTTTCAATACATGTACATTATTTATAGTTAAGTTTTCAAAATAAAAAGTATATTTTCAGTACGCAAGAAATAGCTTTAGTCTATCTGGGAATCAACATGCGTCAATGAAACACAATGAGCTGTCAATTCTGCGATCAAATGTGCGTAAAAATGGTATATACTTGTACAATTCCAAGCAAATGGATGGAATAATTGTTAAAAAGTTATGATGAAAAATAACTGAAAGCCTGATTTTTCTGGCTTCTGGGCCACTTTGATTGCAGAAAAGGGTTTCATCTCTTTTTTGATCATAACTTCACAACTATTTGACCAATTTGCTTGACATTGCACCTAAATTCTGCCATTTTTACAGAAACTTGATAACTGCAATGCCAAGGCATAGACAAGGCATTAACAAAACAAAATGTCACCACATAGTTGCTTACAATATTATGAGTTCAATCTAAAGTCAGATTTAAATTTCTGAGAACTTGTAGATGATTTTGAAGGAATAAATTGGTTAATTTGAAGCAAGTTAAAAAAAGACCCCTTTTGACCTTGAGAAGGTCATTCTTTGAAGGTGAAATCTCAAATCTCAAGTCAGATTTGAACTTCTGAGAACTTGTAGATGATTTTAAAAAACAATTGGTCAGTTTGAAGCAAGTTGAAAAAGAACTTCTGAAAAATACCCTTTTGACCTTAAGAATGTCATTGAAGGTCAAATCTTTTTTGACCTTAAGAATGTCATTGAAGGAACCTATAACTGTTGAGAACTTGAAGATGATTTTGAAAAAAAAATTGGTCAATTTGGAGCAAGTTGAAAAAAGACCTTTTTGACCTTTTTTGATCTTGAGAGGGTCATTGAAAGTCAAATCTAAAGTCAGATTTGAACTTCCGATAACTTGTAGATGATTTTGAAAACAATTGGTCAGTTTGAAACAAGTTGAAAAAGACCTTTTGACCTTTTTTGACCTTGGAAAGGTCATTGAAGGTCAAATCTTAAATATAAAGTCAGAAACTTCTGAAAACATGTAGATCATTTTGAAAAAAATTGAAGTCAGTCTAAACAGTATTTGTTAAGTTATTGGAAGTTATTAGAATTTGTTACAGGCGCGATCGCCAACCACCAACCGCTGTCAAAAAACGACCATAAGAGACCATAACAATATGTCACCACATTTTGGTGGTGACATAAAAATGACCAACTATGAACCATATTGTGACTTGCTTCTAAGTAGTCATATATAAAATATCAACAAAATCGATCCACTACTTTTGAGCAATAGCAAACAAATAACGCTCGTAAAAATATAGTGGCCATTTTTCAAAATTCCTTCATGGTTCCATTAGGTACAATTTTGAGGACAACCTCTGTTTATCTTTCAACTTTCAATCTGGTTTCCTTTTTGCCCAAAACGTGTGTTTTACGCTTACCTCTTTGAAATTAGCTGTTCCTACATCACTGGTTGTTCTGTCTCTAGGTTTATGTGGTCTAGTCTCCCCGTTGTATTCTCCAATAGGAAGGAAAGATAATGTTCCACGGTACAATTTTCTAGCTAGAAACAAAAAGTAACCAACTACAGATGTATATGAAGTGAAAAAACACTATAGCTACTTGGGTCAGGGCAGGTATTTAATCTGAATATATAGTAGGGTGGTCCAAAATAACATTTTTTGGAAAAGAAATGCTCCAATGGTGAAATGGTGTCAGGGGTAAATAGTCATGTCAATTTTTGGGAAATCATTTAACCTAATTCTAGCCCTCCCACAGCCTACAAAGTTTGACAATTTGGTGTAAAATGGCAAAAAAACATTAATTTTTTAGGTTCAAGTAAGAATGCAATGGCATACAACACAAACTAGATAACAGCAATGCCAATGTGTAGCAAATCCCATCAAACATCTAATAAGTGAGACATCTAATAAGTGAGAAATTATATTTTTTCTAAGTAGATATCTTGACAGAGTCCTATATCCCTCAGGCATCAGCATATGAAAATTGAACCAAACAACTTTGTTCTTTGGGATAACACACATAAAAATGTACCCTGCACGCAGAGTCTAGTTAAAACTACCCTCTGCCTAGTATAGACTATAATACAGTTTTGCAGCCCCGCCTCAAAGATTGGTGCCTGTGACAGCCCAGGTAATAAAATCATTTCAAATCTACCACGCTGACCCTTTCTCAACCAATCAGTGAAGTGCAAGGAACACATGCTAAATACGTGCTCATTAACTCTGGGTGATGTGAGAGGAAATGACCATTTAGAAAGTTGTCCGTATTTCGATGAAGTACTCTGATTGGCTCAGTGAGATCAGAGGTTTATTGTAAAATGAGAGTGAAGACAAAGCTCTTTTTTAAGAAGTGAAATCGAATGAATGCAAAGCGTAAGAATGGTGACCATTTTTCAAAACATACAATACCTAGTACAATCTTTGAAATTTTAGAAAATTGTCTTAAACAAAAATGGCAGTCATAAAAAGGAAAATAGATCGCTTTTCAAATCAGTTTTTTCATTTTTTTTTCTTTTTCTATGAATGATATAAAATTTTCAAAGATTGTATCATTTAGAGCAATATATTGGGCACATTTTCTGAAAAATTCAAAACATTCTGTTCAGTGACCTTCCCTACGCTCCTACTTTTAGCTTTTTTTCAGTCACACTTTCAAAGGGCTAAAAAGGTTATTTCATCATGTTTAGGGTCATTCTGACCATGCACATTGTGATCCTGGTCATGTAAATGATATGTGGAAATAGATAAATTGACTGGAGGTCAAATCAGAACTCTGTTATCTTTATTCAAAAAATATCTAAAAATGCAAAAAAAATTGTCACTTTCTGTTTTGTCATTTCCTGTTAACTTCCATAGCACCTTAAGACTTCTCATTATTATAGTTGTACAAAGGAAAAATTTGGTTGATTTAACAAAATTAAAACAGAAACCCTCGAAATAGATAAAAACTAAGATAAACCTTTAATTTCATTAATGAGATACTTTTTTCAAATCAACCAAACTTTCCTTTGTATAATTACAATATTGAGAGACATAAACACGTTGTGTTCATGTCATTTTGTTCCAATGAGGTTCGGATAGATGTTTCATTTCATTCCGAACATATGATGCCAAGAACAAAAGAAGTGTCCAATGTGTTTTCTAAAACAATATAGAGAAAAGTATATACAGGGTGGTCCAAAAAAAAGTGAACCCCTGCAACTGGCCATATTTCCCTTATTACTCGCAGGAATTATTTTTTATTTTCACATATTGTAGAGGAAGGTCTAAAATTTATGTTGGTACCATACATTTTTCTTAGTCTTGAAATTTGCAGAAATTATAAGCCCTAACCAAACATTACTGAAAATGGACAAATTGTGATTTTCAATATTCGCGATTCTTCAACCCGTTAACACCTTTCCCCCGAGAATTTTTTAAGCTGCAATCTTAAATTACTAATATTTTCTGACTTTGTTCAAATTTAAATCTTGCACATTATGGCTTAAAACAAGCATCCTATATTTGTTAGTTGCAAAGTTATTGTGATCCAAAGAGATGTGCTAAGCTTCCACAGACGAAAACATTTTCCAGTGAAATCATGAACATAGCCCTATATGATCTTGAAATGTCAATATCTTCATAAATCATGGACCAATTCTAATGATATATGGCTCAAAACATTAAATATAGGATTTTCTTTTGATTTTTTAAAGATATTTGATGAAGAGGTTATCAGATTCCTGGTCACAGGGGGCAACTTCCTTCCATAAGAGCCCCCCCCCCCCTCTAACTGTTGGTGTAGGTAACATACCCCTGAACTATTGAACAGTTAAACGTGCTTCAAAATGATCAATGAAAGTGTGAAATGTGTTTTTTTGCTTGAATAGTGTCATTTTTGTCATATGGTAGGGTTTTAAACTTGTATCTCTAACTGAAAGCTGTTTAAGATCATCCAATGTGTTTCAACAATTTCCGTGAATCACATCTGTAAAATCTTGTACAATATCTAACTTCCAGGCATGTTTGTTAAACGCTTGCAATATTTTCATAATTTAAGACTGAGAATAAAGTATGGCATCAATCAAAATTTTAGACCTTTCTCTACAACATGTGATAATATGAGCCAATTCATGCATGTATTAAGATAATTGTAGCCTGATGCAGGGGTTCACTTTTTTTTGGACCACCCTGTATATCTATTTCAAATTGTATTGTTACCATTCAAAACATGACCATTAAATTGACAATGTGTAAGATTTTCAGAATTTTTTGATGACTGGTTTGAAAAAGTTCGCCATATCATACCCATCCATTACAAACTTTCGAGAAATAAACCCCTGAGTACCAACCATCATGTTAGTTCACACGGTCCCGTTTACACTGTTCCGTATTAGTAGTTTTGTTGACATTAATACAGAATAAAGCATACCATTTCATGAAAAATGGTGACCTTGTCCTACGGAAATTGAGATTATGTTTCACAGCAAGTTCGCACGGCAATACTATATAGCACATGCTCTAGGGAATTGATTCTACTTTCTATAGACACCAAACACATCTCTGTCAATAGAATAATAAAAAAAAGCCTAAGGTTCCCTAAGCCTAAGGAAAAAAAATGACAAAAGTTGTCATAGCTTTTTAAATCTAAAACTCTTGAAACCGATTTCACTTTCCAGCGACAGATACTTTAGTCTTTTATGAACCGAACATGTCAGTTTGGTTCGTAATATCTCAAAATAAATGATTTCAACATCCCAGCCTATTGCAAGGTATAGTCAGTCTATACCAAAAGTATACTAAAAATATACCTTGTTGATAGGTATATACAGATACCAGACTGATACCATACCAATTATTAGGTACATATACTGAATAAAGTTCTGTAAATAGGTATGAAGATACTGAATAGACTGAATATACTGAAAGCATACCAGTTTTACTTATGATTTTCAATAGTATACTGAAAGCATACCAAATAAACTCTGATAAATAATGATTAGACTGAATGTATACCAGTTTTACTTTATCATTTTATAATATAAACGGCAAATGCAAAATTCATGATAAAACTATAAGTCAACAATTATTCATATGTAAGTTCTATTTTATGACCATTTGTTTCCACAACCTGTTCTACAAGACTAGGTGGCAGGGGAGCATTCCTGCTCATAATTACATTGAATGTTTTATACATTGAAAACACAAAAAATGAGAGAAAGATATGAAAGATACAGTCGTAGTAAAATTTAAAAAAGAAATACAGTTAAAATTTGAAAATTAAAACTTTGATTCAAAAATACATCATGAATAAAACTTGAATATAGTTAATATAAGAATATTAATTTATTTGTGGTATGTCTTTTAGATGTCTTCATAATCCTGCATCTAATTAATTAGATAATGTAATGCTAGAAAATAAGACTGCTATCCAAATTACATGTACTGATTTTTCTCATCTGCAGAATGATTTAAAATTTAAGGTATCTCATTGGTAGAGTCATATTCATCCATATCAGTCTACAGACTGACATGTTAAGACTGTCAGTATAGACTAAATGTCGACCTATAGGTATATACTGTCTGATACCATACTTAAAGTATACCTATATGTATATACTGAATGTTTACCCATTGGTATATACTGAAATTATACTGGTATGTATATACTGAAAGTATACTGAATGTATACCCATTGGTTTATACTGAAAGTATACTGAAACCATACTGGTAAGTCTAATTACCATAACTGAAACATACCTGTCATTGGAATTTTAACATGGGACATATACTGAAAGTATACTGAAACTAGACTAAAAATTGACCTGTCAGTATAGACTGAAAGTATACCTGGCAATGGGCTGGGATTTTAAAAAACTTGGTGCTTGAGATGTGTTTGGTGTTAAGACAACTTTTGTCCTTTTTTCAGGTCTTTGTAAATGTAAACAAAGTAGGTTGGGACCCTAAGGCTTTTTCATTTTTCTATCGACAGAGATGTGTTTGGTGTCTATAGAAAGTAGAATCAATACCCTAGAGATGAGATTGGTGTCTATACAAATATATAAGCACTAGTGACAAAGGGAAAGGACCAAAAGTTGTAATGGAACTTAGCAAAAAAAGCAACTCTAAGTGCATAACAGTCAAGAAAAACAAACCCCATATAGCCCAAAACCATGATCTAAACCATGATCCACCTCAAAAGGTGCCAAGTGAAAATATTGTGAGTTCAGCGCCATTGTCTTAAACAATTAATACATCCTTCAGCATCTCAAGTGGTAAAACTTGAAACTTCAAAATTAATGATTTGTATAGAATTTGTGTAGAATCCATTCCCTAGAGCATGTGCTATACAGTATTGCCGTGCGAACTTGCTGTGAAACATAATCTCAATTTCCGTCACCATTTTTCATGAAATGGTATGATTTATTCCGTATTAATGTCAACAAAACCATATTTTCACCTTTTTTTCATGACAAAACCACTAATACGGAAGGGTGTAAACGGGACTGTGTTCATGTAAGTGGAAAAACTATGCCAGGAATAAAAATTGTCAGTTTGTTTG